AAAGAGATGATTTTGAAGACAACTTATCTCTCTCTACATGAGGCTTCAAGACAAAACATGTACACCCAAACACTCATAATGAAGAATAATATAGGAGTTGTCCAAACAACATTTCATAAGGAGACTTCCCCGAAGTGTACGCAGTAGGAATGCGATTAATAACATAAGTGGCGGTATGAACAGCTTCTCCCCAAAACATATTGGGAACTTAAGCAAATAGTAGTAATGATCTGGCAGTTTCTAGGAGATGTCGATGTTTTCTTTCTGCAACACCATTCTGCTGAGGAGTGTCTGTACAATATGATTGATGTATAGCCCCATCAGATGCCAATAGTTGTTTAAAATCATTGGAGGTAAATTCTCCTCCCAAATTACACCGAAAACATTTTTTGACAGCAGAGTGTTGAGTCTTGACAAGAGCTCTGAATTCACTATATATGGTGAAAAAATCAGACATGCGCTTCATAAAATAAACCCACGTATAACGAGTGTAATCATCAATGAATGAAACATAATAGTTAGCTCCTGATTTGGAGGTGATCGGAGAGGGACCCCACACATCAGAATGCACAATATCAAAGGGAGCAACAGAACGAGTGACACTTTTATTAAACGGTAAAGCAGAAAATTTTCTGAAAGAACCTAACTTTCGTATTTCTGAAAGACCCAAACTTTCATACTTCACAATATTGTTACTCCAAAACATGCTACATGTATATTCATAAAACAATATTTTACATTGATAATTTGATTACAAAAGACTGGATACAAACCGACTAAGTTTTAGTATATTACATAACTACGCAAGATATTTAAGCTTTTATACAAACATAAACCCAAGTACAAAAATAATAGTATAAACTATTCTAAATCTTCCAACAGTATATGACTATACTGGATTCTCATTACCTGCAATTGTTAAACACTGAGAGGGGTAAGCGGTAATGCTTAGTGAGTTCAATAATAGATACAATATAACATTATGCCATATATATACTTTAATATGGCAGAAGCAAAGGGGTACAAGGAACAACAAAGGCATATGTGAAATGTGACAAACTTTCCATATCAATCAATGATTTGATTCAATGATATACAACCAATGAGACATAACAATTTCAATACTTGATATACATCAATAACACTTTGACACAAATGGCACAGAAGACATACGATATCTGATTAAACATTTTGGTAGATTTCAGGCTATCAACCCTATCTGACCTTCTGCCAATGCCATAGAATAGAGGTCATTCTCTTATGAGACATGCTCTACATGGCCAGAGGCTACATACCAGTACCACCGTGAATCTAATTCCTTTCACTGATCACATGGTCAAAGGTACAACTTCACTACCATAATAGTGGAAAATAATAACACGAGATGATAACACGGAAAAAAGCACATAGCACATATAACACATAACATACAATTGTTCCTATATATTGAACTCACCGTGAAATAACCGGGGGTTAAAGTATTAATTTGGGCAACACTTCGACTTTAAATATGACTTTCTGTGACAAAACCGAGGATTTTAGTTGAAAACCGGCCTTACTCGGGCAGAGTTTCGATTTGAAAATATGATTTTCTCGGGAACTTCGGAGTGCCCGGACTTACTTCGGGTGTCGTGAATGATACCGGGACTTCAGGGGGTGTTAGTGTAAATTTAGAGAGAGTAAAGGGTGTAAAATGAGAGAATTCTAAACAAAAACACGGCAGCCTTCGCATCCTATTTGTAGTAGTCCGAAGCTACTAACTACACTGGGCGTAAGTCCTTGGTACGCTGGGCGTACTGCGAGGCGGTCCACTACGCTGAGCGTACCCCTCGTATGCGGGGCGTAGAAGCTTAGTGGCTTCGGACGTGTCAAATGTGCGAGATACGTGGCATCTGAGCGACGAAGGGGAACATGACTGGCTCCAGGTCGCATACGTGCGAAGTAGGCTGGGCATACGAAGCGAAGTACGTTGGGCGTACCCTTCGGATAACCCTCGAATTTTTATTTATTTTTATTTAAAAACTTCAAAAATCCATATCTTTTGCATACGAGATCCTTTTTTGACGTTCTTTATATCCACGTGTATGTGAGATTATACTCTACAACTTTCGTTTTAGACTCCGTCGGCCAATTTTGAGTTTATTTTTAAAGTTATATTTTTAACGGGTCAAAGTCCGTTAAAAATTCATAACTTCTTCATCCGATGTCTGTTTTCGTCTGTCTTTTTACCGTTGTACTACTATTGACGAAACCTTCGACTCTCGTTTAGGTTGAGTTGGATAAAAAACACTCGATCTTTATTTCAAGTTTTTAGCTGTCTACTGTTATTCCGAAACTTAGAAAAATCATAACTTTCTCATACGAAGTCAGATTTGGACGTTCATTTTATGAAAATTCTCGGTTTTAACGAATAATACGACTTTCATTTAGATCATAAGGGATTAAAAGTAGTTTATCGAAAACTCACTTTTTACGTCATACGGCATCGTGTCGGTTCTGTCGCGAAACTTCAAATAGTCATAACTTCTTCGTTATAACACAGATTTCGATGAGGTTTTTGCCTAAATGTTTCTAAAGAGATTCTTTACAACTTTCATTAACATAATTTTACTTATTTTCAAATTTTATATTTTCGATAAACTTCAATATTTGACTTTTGATTGGAATCTCATAAGACTTCCAATATTTTCTGAGCGATTCTAAACATAGTTTTACTTCATTTCTAGTAAAAACTATTTGTTAGAACTCAACGCTCAAATTCATATAATATTTCATTATATTATTCACTTTTAAAATTACATAACACGATAACTGAACGTGTATGTTACAAATACCTCCTCCTTTTGAGGATTTCGTCCCCGAAATCACATCGATATAAATAACTGGGGATATTTCGCTCTTATCTCATTCTTATTTTTCCCAATTATAATTTAGGCCTCGATCGTGTTTCCACTTGACGTGCACCAACTCCAAGACATATGCACAAAGCATATATTCTACCGTTTGGATTGTTCTCTCCGTCTGAACATCTATCCTTCTTCAATTCTTTGACTGAAATTTCGTCACTACACGAGATATGGTTCTCTGAACCAATCAATTCACTTCGCAAATCTATATTAGTCGGACTCGATTCTTTACGACCATTAAGGTCTGAACGAAAATCATCTTCTTAATCATCACTGAAACGAAGGTAGTGACATACTCGAACAAAAAAAAAAACGGAATCGATTACTAGCTTCTTGGTAATCTTGTGACTTTCCCTGATCCAAGTGTGAGTCATGTGCTTCCAGTAGTATAGGCATCTACTACTATTCACACCTACTCATACTCGTTCCAAGAATTGTCTCGCAGTCCCCAAGTCAACATACAAAAGTTTTCACAAAGAAACTTTTCACGACTGAGTGTGTTCTTTAACAACCAATCAATGCCGAGAATAATATCAAAGTTGGGTAAGGAGATAGGAATCAGATTGGCAAGAAAATTATAGCCTTCAATTTCTATTATACAATCTCTATAGATTTTATCAACAAATAATGATATACTTCCCGCAGTATCTACGTGAAATGATTGGGCGAATGAATAACAAGCAATTTGGAAAGAATGCGCAAATTCATAAGACACAAAAGAATCTGAGGCACCAGAATCAAATAAGATGTGAGTAGGTCTAGAGTTGATAAGAAATGTACCCGTCACAACATTCGGGTCCTCGCGTGCCTCCTCTGTGGTAATCTGGAATGCACGACCCTTAGCTTTTGGCACCTCATCCTTTGGGGTTGAAGTACTCATCGGTTGTTGAACGAAAGCTTGGCTTCCCGCCATTTGACTAGTAAAATTAGGACAAAACGCTTCTTGTGGCCAGTAATACCACATGCATAGCAAGTAACATCCTTCCTTGGGCAGGCTGGCTTTATGTGACCCGCTTTTCCACATCCATAGCAGACCACAAATTCCTTTTCTATTCTGCATTGGCCCAGATGATTCTTTCCACAAACACGACATGATGGCGATTGAATAGAAAAAGATTGTGATCTATCGTGACCACGAACGGCGCTCTGAGATTGCTCTCTTGTATTAGAATCAGATCGAACAGATAGAGCTGGTGGAATAGAGGAAACAGGAACAGATTGATCGATATATGGATGCTTTGGAACAGAAAGAGTGGCACCATGTATCTCTAAGTCATGCTTGCGTTTTCGAGCATACTCAACAACTTTGTCAAAGGATAGAACATCCCGATTGGCTACAAAATCGTGAATTTCATGTTGTGGTCCCTCCATGAATAACTGAATTTTCTCGCCTTCAGTTGAAACATACTTTGCAGCAAACCGTGCTTTTTGATTGAACTGAGTTTCATACTCATTCACAGTCATTCCTCCCTGTTTAAGCTCAAGAAACTCTTTCTCCAATCTTCTCCTCATGTCAAGAGGACAATACTTTCCTAGCAAACACTACTAGAAAAACAACCTTTTATGACGTGCAATGCGTGTCGTAAAACGCTCAGACGACGCACACATGTGTGTCAAGGAAGGCCCTGTCATAACGAGAGACGACACGTTTTTGCGCGTCGTCTATTTACGACGCGCATTTACGACACGCATTTACGACGCACAGTTATGACATGCAATGCGTATCAAGGAAGGCCCTGTCATAAAGGAAGATGAAACGCATTTGCGTGTCGTAACCTTACGACGCGCATGTTTATGACACGCAATGCGTATCAAGGAAGCCCCTGTCATAAAGGAACACGACATGCATTTTTGCGTGTCATAATTTTAAATTTTTTTAAAATCATATATTTTTGATAGATTTACTAATTTTCAAATTAAATAACACATTAAAAGTCTCATAATACAAAATAAAGTACCATAAACAATAAAGATAATTCATTGCACTAATATGTCAAATACAAATAATCATTCCAATAGTAAGTAAATGGAACACATTGCTAATATTGCATAATATTTATTATAGAAACAAAACATGTACAACATTAAAAGAAACCCATGACTAAATTCTCCTTTGACAATTTCCTTTCTAAGAGAATAACCTAAATGTGCAGGAACTTTGAGAGGCTGCAGGGCATGGAAGGAGGTTGCTAGAGCTCTCAGAACCTGCACATGGAAAATCGGTAACTTAACATGCAATACAATACAAGATGATATGATAGAGAAAAGAGAAAAGTGAATACCCACCTGAAAGTTTGCACCTTCAAAAACCGGATCAAGGGTACTAAGGTCAAGCAGCCAATCAATGAATAACTTTAAATACGGTCTGGGGTTGAATGATGTTTTCTTCTCCTCAGCATCCTTTTGAATGAATCTCATAGTCACTGCTAACACCTGTTGCAAAAAATGTCAAATAATCACCAGTCTTGATTGTAATTTGGGATTCTAACCTTTGACAGAAGAGACAACTTGCTTACTCCATGGAAAAGCATACTTGTCTTGAGTGTCTACATCTGGCATAAGGACAATGTTAACAAAATAAGATAACATTATATACCATAAGTACTCAAGTAATCAATCTCTTACAATGTTACTAAAATACCCTCAAGTAATCAATCTCTTACAAAGTTACTAAGAGACTTAGATACTCAGTTGGTATGTAATATGGCACTAAGAAGCCCAAGAATTGTTTGTGTTTTTCATGTTCCTGGTGGGTCCTACATGGACAAAAGGTAAGAATTAACATTTTCAAAGTACAATGCCTCAATAAGGAAATCAATGGTAAAAGTCAAATCTGAATAAGAACAAACTTTCTGCATGAAAGACCTGCCTGCAGGATTCAAACTTTCTAGTCGTTGACAATCAACCATATGTACACTTTCATCCCTTAAAAGACGCCTCTCTAATGCTGAGAAACTACACAAACAATATCAAGATTAACAAAACATAAAAACACAATAAATCTTTTTAATTAAAACGATTTGATTTACCTTCTTGCTATAGCATCAAACTCTGAGTAGCATTAGAAATATAGTTGCTGATTTTGGCACCATAAAAGGAAACTTGAAGCTTCATTATTTTCATTGATAGTTTAAGTAAAAATTCCCAATCCAAACTCCTTCACGTAAAAATAAATAATATGTTAGGAAAGTTTTTGATAAAAAAAAAAACAAGTTTAAAAAACTAAAAAAAAGGAGCCTACGGAGAGGACAAAAACAAGTTGAAAAAACTCGTATACCAACAGGCTGTGATCATCTTCTAAATAATTTTGAAGATTTGATGTTGGGTGTTTAGTTCACAATTACTTCAAGTATAAAGCCCTTTAATTTCCAAAATTTCTTTATATTCATCCCTCTCACAAATTCTATTTAAATTTTCAGGTCAAAGTACTAAATGTTAAGTTATTACTAGCTGCCAAGGATTATGCAGGGGTAATTTCGGAAGCATGATATATATTCACAAAGAGGACAAAGATAATCTAGAGGATTATGCAGGGGTAATTTCGGAAGCATGATATGAAGAAGCCAACTGTTGTGGCCAAGAATAGAGATTTGCAAATAAGGACGAGTCAAGTGATTTCAAAGGAGAAATGCAGGTTATGGTTGCTAGGGGTCACCCGTGTTACATGGTACTCCTGATCTTATAATTTGAAATTACGGTGATGGAAACCTTGTTGCCTCTTTGTTGTCTTACAAAATGGTAGTAACTCAGGTAAGAAACATAAATAAATAAATAAATAAAAACCCTTCAAGTTATCACAATGTGTTGAGAAAACAAAGTACCCATAGTCAGACTTGTATTGGAAGAAATTTGATGAATACTGACCTAGCCATGAACAATGCAAATTTTATCATCACTAGCACATACCCAGAAATTGCAGGAACGTAAGTGTCCTAAGTTTTTATGGTCTGCTAGATGTCAATAAATCCACATCAGCTTATTTTGTTTATAAATTTCATTTCAAGAAGAATAATGTGGGACAATATGAGAGCCATTCACCTTTCATTCTCCCAGGGCTGGGCTCTACAGGGTTGTTCACGGTATTGATGTATTTGATCCAAAGTTCAATATCGTGTCTCCAGGGGCTGATGGAAGGGGTATTAATGTTGGTAACTGATTAATTTCACAAGATGTTGATGGTTTAACATCCCTAAATAATTAATTTTGCCTGCAACATGATCAAAAAAATAAATTATGAGTTGTAATTCATTGAGTTAAATAAAGAAGATTTGAGAATGAATTTGTCGTATGCATAAGAACATACGAGCCATTCTTGAAGACCTTGAAGATCTCTCGATTTAATCTCTTAACAGATTGTTCATCGATCCATCCTTTTAAAACCGACCCAGATCCACCTTCTCCAAGAACACTATCGTGTCGGAAATTTCTTGTAGCCAATTTAAGTACATTGAAGCTAAAAGGCTTTAAATTTCCCAATTGTAAGATTTCTGTTTGACTTCTAGGACTCCAAGGGCTTGGAGGTACTGATGTAGATGTAACTTTACCTGTTGAAGTTTAAACACATCAAAAAGACCACAACACCCTTTTTTTAATCAAAAAGACCATATTACTCTCTACACTGCTTAATTTTATGCAGCTGGATACATCACAAAAATATAAAAATGTGAAGAAATTCAACTTCATTATGTTCTATTTTTATATTTACACAATTCATCCACAGATTGTCGATAAGAAAATGAAATGAGAAGTATAAGGTCTTCTAGACAAACATATAAAAATTCATCACAAAAATATAAAAGTTATAACAACGGCTAAAATCACAAGCAGATGATAGGAATACGGTATACTCACCATCTAAACGTGAATTTTCAATTTTCAATCTAACACTGAAACAAGAACCCATCTTGATCCAGATATTGATCTTCTTCTTTCTTCTTAATTCAAAACACTGAATTGAGTCTCCCCTTCTTCTTAGAGAGAGAGAGAGAGAGAGAGAGAGAGAGAGAGAAGCAGTAATAAAAGTGATAGAAAATTAAGAACTCACTGGGACATTAAATCAAACAGTTGGAGGGTGTGAATGGGAAGACGTGTTAAAATATACATATAAAATACGTATGCGAGTGTGTGTTGAATAGTTGAAGTGTGTACATGTGAGCGCCTGGTTTCACGAGGAGAAAAGGAAAAGACAAAAGGCTTGACTTGTCAGCATTAATTCTCTCCTCACTGCAACTTGCTTCTCACCCTACAACATGTTTGTATCTTTTCTTGAAAGCATCAAACATTTTCATTTTTCAAGTGCATTTTCATTTTATAAAATATATATTTTTTTAACAGCACTTGATTAAAAAAAACAGAGCCAAAATGGGATTTGCGAGCAAACAGGAGAACATGATGATTTCCTGCATGCAACCGTTATATCAAGTGTTTGAAGCTTCCCGGAGTCCTAATCACTATACCATCAGTTCATTTTAGGAATAGGAAAAAGGGAAAATGCATCAATGTTATAGTTAAATAAAATCTTACTGTGAGCATCTTGGCTGGATCAAAACTTTGCATAGGTGGACAAGAACCAAAGATCTTGTGAGTGAGCTCAAGAGCAAGCTGTACAACAGGTAGTTTACTGTCAATTTCTTGTATCAAATCAGCTGAAAGAAAAGAAATATTACCAGTATAAGAGTTCTAATTTTTGAATTAAAAAAATAAAACCATCTATCTATTCAAATCCTTGGTTTAAAATAAGAAAAGTAAATTAGCTGCAAGATTTTATAGAATATACAAAAGATGTATAAACTTCAAGCTATCCATGAACATGGATTTTATATGTAAACATGATACAACTTATTTAACTCGTCTCATTAAACTCTCTGAGGTAATGAAATCATACCACGAATCAATTAAACAAGTGACTTGATGATATGTATACAATGTTGAGCAAAAAAATTACCATGTAACAGACCATTTATCATATGGACCGAAATAATATTGGGAACAGGAAACCTGAAATCAAGAATTTTGAGCAGAATCAGTATGATTATTAGCCATCGAACAATTGAAAATATTAAAAATAAGAAATTATTAGGAAAACACTTACATTGTTCGGGACATAGCTTGCACCGAAAAAAAATAACATTAAATTGATGGTCTGGGTGAAGTCGCCGGAAAACAAACAATTATAAACCAAAATCGCCATTAGAATTGAGAGGGGAGGAGAGAATGTGAGACGTTAGTGATTTGATTATGGGTGAAATCGCCGTTCTTGAAAGATACCAAGGAAATCAGAGAGAGAGGTTTCATCAAATGCGTTTCGTGATTTAATTCTGGATGAAATTGCGTTGTTCAAGGCGTCCCAAAAGGCTTTTTCCATCCACATATCTGACTAAATCGATTTGTAGCGATTTTCCAAAAAGTGAATCTGGTACTGCAATCATTAGAAGCTAACGAGAGAGAGGCTGCTTCCATGACGGAATTTGCGAGACTTGCCATGGGCATAGTGAAATCGTTACACTCTTACCAAAATTTCCAAATAGTGAGTTAAATACAGGCGATTAGTGAAGGAAAGATGTGAATGCGTAATTGGCAAAACTTAGGGTTCCGGTGGGTTTGCTAAAATTAAAGGGTTGGAAAAATTATAAAACGGTGACAAGGTACACCAGAGCACCGGTGCCAACACGCCCGACAATGTGGCGTTGTCTAATTTTTTGGGTTTCTAATCGAAGCAGGGAGGTCGATAGATGTTTTCAGACTGAAATCGTAGATTAGAGAGCCGAAGAGGAGAGAATCACAGAAGGCGTGAAGTGTGGATTGAGTTTTTAGGGTTCAATGGTGGTGGCGATTTAGGGTTTACAGAGAGAAGGAAGGGAGATACAGAGAAGAGAGTGCAGAAGCGGGGTAGTTCAAAATTTTAGAATTTGAGAGGATTTCATTTTCCCCATTTAAAAACGCACGTTCCTGTAAAAAATTATAAAGCGGCACTTGTAGATGACACACATTTAAGATAAGCGCCTTCCGTGTTTGTATTTTTTTTAGGACATTAATTTTAGGGCACGCAAAAATGTGTGTCCTCTATCCTTCAAATTTTGCAAAACTGACATTATTTTTTAGGGCACACACAAATGCGTGTCCTCTATTAGCGCGTGTCATTGTTTGCGCGTCATTAAAGGGCTGTTTTCTAGTAGTGAAACGAGTTTTGAACATTTCCCAGGATAAATTCTCCTGGTCATACCCGTTAAGAGCTTCATATGTTGCCTCCCACCAGACCAAGGCTTCTCCGATGAGCATTGCAGAAGCATAATTTGCCTTGTCTTCATTATCCACATGAGAGATACGGAATACTTTCTTTGTGTTCTGAATCCAAGTTAGAACAACTATGGGATTAAGGACACCAGAAAATTCCGTAGCACCACTACTCTTGAAATCTTTGAACGAGGGACGCTTCACCTCTCCTTTTGAAAATTCTCCAGTGGCTTTCTCTTTGCCTTTATCATTATTCTTCTTGTGTTCTTCAAGAGTCTGCCGAATAATACCAGTAAGTTTACCCAAAAGTCGCTCCTCACGAGGGGATACTGGAGTATTTACTTCACCAGGTTTAGGATCTCCACCCACTTCTGGTGTATGGCTACCTTCCTGTTCAGCCATTCTTCTGAAAATTTGGAGCAATATAGTATTTTAGAATATTAGGATTTATTATTACCTAATACTTTACTTAAGTCTTTCGTATGGTTTGTATTCATATACTCCTAATGAATCCGTTCATATATTGAACTTCTGAAGGTTTAAGTCAAAATACCAATCCGTGGAATTTAGTTCATTTAAACCACCGCTCTGATACCATGATTGAAAGAACCTAACTTTCGTATTTCTGAAAGACTCAAACTTACATACTTCACAATATTGTTGCTCCAAAACATGCTACATGCATATTCATAAAACAATATTTTACATTGATAATTTGATTACAAAAGACTGGATACAAACCGACTAAATTTTAGTATATTACATAACTACCCAAGATATTTAAGCTTTGATACAAACGTAAACCCAAGTACAAAAATAATAGTATAAACTATTCTAAATCTTCCAACAGTATATGACTATACTTGTGACGACCGTCAAAATTTGAGTCGGTTCTAGATTTGATAAACTTAGTTGTACATGTAGGCACGACACATACTAGACTTAGTAACTAGAAACTAAGTTATAACCTACTGGAAACTTGGAAACAATTAGAATCAATGGATAGTATACTTAGATTTCACATTGATATGTGAATTCTACAACTACTTAACTATAGTGAATATCCATATTTAGGTCGCTCTTTGACTCGAAGACCTTTTCATGAATCAAATACACACATCATGCACTTGACCTAGTGGTAGAAATTAGGTCCTAGTCTCCTTTGGAACTTAAGTCAGAGTTGAAAACTAGGACTAGTATAATTGATTTCTCAATTTCGCTTGAATCTCGGAATCACTACATAGAATGCCAATAAACCGACAAAATAAGTTACAAACATTATTTATAACTATGAAAAGAGTTATAATACCATAAGATAAATTTAAGTCTCAAAGATTCTATTGATTTTGATATCCAAAGATTTAAAAATCTCAAAAACCCTCAATGCCCTAAAAACCTAAATTTATGAAATTTAACCTTAAAAATTCTATAAATATAGTTATGAGCCTCATAATATGATCTTATAATAATTAAAATTATAAAAATTCATTCAAGGAAAATAAAATTTAACTCATTAATATTTACCCTTAATTTATAAATCAAAAATCAAGGTTTTATGAATAAAAACTTGATTTTAGTGCACATTTTATATAAAATTTAGATATTTTATAAAAGAACTTAAATTTTATAAAACAAAATGAATGAGAAATTGGGTATTATACTCAAAATTTCGGATCCCTCTCTTCCCATATCTCTCTCTCTCACTCTCATTCTCCAACACACACACATCTCTCTTCTTTCTCTCTCTAGAAAACTCTCTCTACCTTCTCCCTAATTTTTTTCTCCAAACACCACAACCACAGCCTCTTAACCACGAAATTATGGAGATTCATAAGGGTTTTTCAAGCCACAAATAAATTTAAAGTAAAGAACATACATCTCTGGAAGATCCACAACAATGATTTAAGCCATGCATGTGCATTTTACTTCAAAAACCGACTTCTACTTCTTCATCTTCTTCAAACTTGTTTTCTTTTTGTTAAAATGGTTATTATAACATCATGTATGTGTTTTAACACCATGCATGTATGTTAAACAAGGTTGCATGTTAATGATCTTAGTGCAAAAATCGATTTTAAGGATCAAAACATCAAACTCATTTTTAAGAGTTCTTGAGAAATAAGATTTTTGTATTTTAATGCATGTATGTAAATTATGATTTTTAAATATATTTGATCTCTGGAAACATGACCATAACATGCATGGATCATGATATCTTTAAAATATTTCAAAAGATTTACTCAAAGAAATGATGAAAACTCACTTTTCTAACCAATCATCATGCATGCAATCTGCCAGATTTCTTTACCTGACTTTAAACTGCCATATCTCACTCATTTCCTAACCAAAATTCGAGATTCTTTTTCTGAAATATAATATGTTGAGTTATCTTTCAAACCCATCTGACCTCACTGGAAAATTCCAATATTTCAATTGTTTAGCAATTTTTACAAAACTGTTGCTCAATCAGCACCTTTTTGTAAATACTAGTTTTGTATTGCATGTTCAAAGGTCTTATTCCTCACTAAAAATCTAGGGAAAATTAATTTGAGCACTTAACATCATGCATGTATTAAGAGGTACAAAAAGATCTTGATTCAATAGTCTTTGGAACATGTTGCAAAAATTCTCAAAGTAACATCAATAATCTTTACCAAACTCACAAGTATCAAATTTTCTCTATAATTTATTGAGCCTTTAGGCATGTTTTACACATCAAAAATAAGAAAACGATTTTTTCATTGATATTAAATTGTATGAAGATGCATTCTGAAAATTTTTAGCTCAATATATATTTTATTTATTTTTACATGAAAATAATAAAAAAATAGAGTGTTAAAGCATATAAAATACTTACACTTGTAAATAAATTCTGGAAACATTTGTGGATGATCCTTTTATTTAATAAACATCTCTCGTAAAGTTTCATGTATTGTTGTTACTGTTTAGTATGGTTTTGAATTTTCTTTTTATTTAGCTCCAATAAATCATAAAACCACTTTAGGGAAGGTGAAAATATTATCTATTATATTTCGCAGCTTCTACCTTATGTTTAAGACTCAGACAAATATTTTGGAAATTTTTAAAAATGTTTATCTATTTTTCCATGATTTTTGTGTTTGTAATGGACTAAAAACAAGAAAAATTGTTTTCCTCATCCAAAATTAATGCAAATTTACCAGAAACTCTTATAATATGTTAGGATGATACATAAAATTTTTGATGATTTTTATCTTCTGTATGCTATTTTTCTTCTATTTTCCCAAGATTTAATACACTTAAATATACAAAAATCATAAAATTGGGTTTAACAGTTTAGAAATCTATTTTTATATTTTTACCAGCTTAAGTATGTGTAATAACACTTGTAAAAAAGGTTTTGTGAATTTTTGAAACTGTTATCTATTTATTTCTATTTTTATAGAATAAATACACAAAAATCAGAAAAACTATGTTAAACTTTTTGAAAACACATATTAATATTTTTCCCAGATTATGTACACTGTAAAACAGTTACACAAAAATTTAAGTATTTTTCATGATAATTTACTATTTTTCCATGATTTTATGATTATTCAAGGAATTACATGGTGAAAAATAGTTAGACAACTCAAAAATTCAAGAAAATTTATCTTAAGGTCTTTGACTTCAATTAAAACTGAAATACAAAGTTTGGGAAATTTAGAACTAAATTGATTTAGTTTTTGAATATTTAATCATTAAAACACCTCTGAAAATGTTAAATATTAACATTTCAATAATGAGAATTTTCCACTTAAATTGTTATATAACAATTGATTCATTGAAATTTAATTTTCACAGAAAAATGTTTGTAACTTATCAATATTAAATTTTGGCACAATATTGGCATA